GGGCTTCCAGCAAGATTGTGTCTATAGGAAACACCAGGGAGACATTCTCCTTAGAATAACTAGCAATTCCACCACAAGTAAGGAGATTGACTGAGAGCATGTACTCAAGATGAAGTCTTGAAGGCAAGAACTAGTAGGATAGGAGGAGTAATGGAAATTAGAATTACAGGGAGAAAATAGGAAAAATGTTATTGCCTTATGGATATTGTACTAAATGTTATAAAACAAAACATGTGAATGATTGAAGAAAAAACCAACATATTCTGTAAACCTATGTGTAAATAACAATAAAAAATATTAAATGAAGAAAAAAAGCAGAGAGTGAAGATATATATTCTGTTTTGAATTTAAATTTTGAATAGGTTGTATATATCCATGTTTTAAAAGCATACTATCCTTTTTGGGAGACACACTCTTCTCCCAAGAGCAACCTCCTCACCAGAGTCCCCCTTCTTGGCAGATGACTCCTTCTCCTGAGACAGGTCTACTGGGGAACCTTACCATTGCTCTGGTGCAAGATGTGAAGGCCTATGTGGCATGGCTGGACTGGAGCATCTTCTAGCCACTGCTTCCCCAGCATCTACTAAAGACTGAGGTCTAACCCAAGCACAGCCACACCCTGGCTGGAGACAGAACCACTGCATGCCAGGTTGAGGGACTACAGTCTTAGATGACAATCACACCCAAAGCACTAGACCACTTCCCTGCCACCTGGAGACCTCTCTGTTCCATGGCCTGGAGACCCCCTAGCTTCCATCCCTGCAGCCCAACATCAAGAGCACCAATATCATAGATATTTTGACCTTAAACATGGATGGCTGTGTAGCTACATCACATGGGATTTCTTAAACTCAAGCAGAAGAGGCAGGGTGGAGCCATGGTTGCAGAAGGGCAACAGTCATCTTGGTCCATGTGGACTTCTGTGCCCAAGAGGGGAGTACCAAGATACAGGTCCTTCACAAATTGTTGCCATACCCTGGGTCATTAATAGTTACAACAACCTAACATCTACTAAGAAAAGATTCACATGGTGTCAAGAAAGCAGCAGTCGGCCTCAGTCATTATGAAGAACAAAATAACCCTTCTGATAAAAATGCAGATCCAATGAATACCACAGATATATATTCACAGACCCAGAAGAAATATGTTGATTTAGAGTTATTAGAACAGGTGCAGAAGAAGATGCAAATGATGGAAGAAACAATTGAATTCATTAAGAAAGCAAATATCACAAAGACAGTAATACAGAAAAAAATACATTGATGAGGAGCAATATGAACAACAGTGGAGGAAAAAACCCAGAAAATAATAGAAGAATTAATAGTATAGATAAAGAGGTTATTGTTGTTATTATGTGCTGTCAAGTTGCCTGCTACTCATAGTAACTCTACATATAATAGCCTTAAACCCTGCTCTATCCTGTGCCTATCTTATTGTCTCTGACACACTAACTCCATTATCCCAGTCACTGAATTAATCTATTTCATCAAAAATCTTCCTCTCCTGCACTAAAGAGGTACTCAAACTTAAAAAACTCATCACAAGACAGAGAGGGTACAGTCAACACGGTACTGGGAAAAGCAGAAAAGCATGAAAAAAACATTTCAAAATATTAAGACCAAAATGGCACAAGCATCCAACATGCTAGTAAGGCAAAAAAGTAAAACTGAAGAAATGGAGTAGATAGTCACTGAGCTGGAAGACAACAGTTTCACTGGAAACATACTAGAAGAAAATCAAAGATGAGATGCAAAGAAATGAGGAAAACACTAGAATCATGTGGGATGATATTAAAGTAACAACATATATATGATTGGAATTTCAGAACATGGGAGTGGCAGGGAAGTGTCTCAGAAAATTGTAGAAGAAGCACTAGAAGAAAACTTCCCTGGTATTTTGAAGAATGAGGAAATCCAAACTCAAGATGTATAGCAAACACCAAATAGACTATATCCAGAAAGAAAAACATCAAGACTTATCGTAGTCAAATTCTCCAAAATTAAAAGATAAGGCTAGAATACTAAAAGCAGCATGAGAAAAACAGATTCCCTTACAAAGGAGAAACAATTAGATTAAGTTCTGATTTCTTAGCAGAAACCATGCAAGTGAGAAACGATGGGATGGCACAAACAAAAAGTTTAAAAAAAAAAAATTGCTAGCCAAGGATCCTATATCTTAGCAAAGCTCTCCATCAAATATGAAGGAGAGTTTAGATCCCTTGTGGGAAAAAAGGAACTTATGAAATTTGTGAAAACAAGATTAAAGCCACAAAAAATTTTAAGTGAAGTTCTTCACATAGATATGCCAGAGGAAAGTGGTAGACCACAGTAATCAGAAACAACAGAAAAAAGAAACATAGAAAAATAACAACAGTAAAACTTGGCTTGACAATAATCACACTTAATGTGAAGGAACTAAATATGACAATTAAGAGGGGAAAAAGTAGCAGACCAGATAAAAAACCAAAGCCAATCAATATATATCCTATAAGAGGCACATATTAAAAATGCAGAGAAAGAAA